TTAACGTAGCATCTGAATATGTAATGATATACAGGGCGTTCTATTTTAAAAAATGGAATTTTGGTCTGTAGCACCTACACCAAACACCCTGTATATTTAAAAATTATATCAAAATATAGCTCTCATGAACTCCTAAAACTTTTGTATGAAACATTTTTGTGTATCTCCTTCAACAAACCAGATATTGCCTGTCACATAAAATGTGGGACACCCGGTATACTCTGCTGTTTCATCATTTTTCAAATAGAGGCGACACACACTGTCTTCTGACAGTCCGAGTTTCTGCATATGATGATTCAAATGACAGTGACCTGTAAAAAGACCTGTTAAACATCGTAATTCATTCCTACTGTTGTAGGAACAACTGTTTGATATCAAGCTTCGAAGGGTGAATTAACGCCTTGGAGTAAGCCAATCCTGGAATATTCTGCCCGAAGTCCATGAATCTTCTTGTTACCCAGGTGTTCAATGTTTGTTTGGCAAAGCCTAAGGTGATGCCAATGACAGGTTCTGGTCCGATGAACCTACTTGCAGCACCCTCCTTTGCAAGGGAGTTGGCAGCCTCATTACCTTTCAGACCAGTATGGCCAGGAATCTGCTCTGTAGGAGCCAAGAGCTTTCAACGCCGCTTGACTGTCCGAGAATAGTATTATTGACCTATTTATGAGGATGGATTTATCCAATCCCTCCGCACACAATTCAATAACTGGTAGGTACCCTAGGTAGGTAGATATCTCTGTCCTGTGTCTGCGACTAAAAACACCTGCACCAAGACCGGTAGGTGTTTCGTATTCATCTTTGAACAAACAACTATCTGCTCTTAATATTTCCTTCTCCCGGAGGATCCAGTCCTCTCTATTCGGGAATAGTACTTCATAAGGCCGTTCGTAGTTGACAGTTGAAGGCATAAAGTCAGAGATCATTTCCAGAATGCTGTGACTTCCAGTGTCAACCAACAGTCTGTTGCACTCTGCATTAAATTGATTTGTGCAATTGGCAATGTGCACAAGTCTGTATGCGGTCCATCTAGCCTCTCTCTCCAGACTAATGTGGAGAGGAGGTAGATTTAGAAGGATCTCTATGGCCGCTGACGGTGTGGTACTTATGGCACCACTGGTAGTCAAACAAGCCTGTCTCTGTGAGCCAGAGAGCTTCGCTTGGGCCTTTTTCTGTGAAGCCTTTGGCCACCAGGCAATCGCACCATAAGTGATCATTGGTCTGACAATCATCACAAAAATCCAATGGATTTTTTTGGGACCTAAACTTCAAGTTTCACCATAAATCCTTCGACATGTCCATAGAGACAGTCTGGCTTTGCGTAACACTTTTTACAAGTGAGCGTTCCAGGTGAGTCTTTTATCAAAGACAATGCCAAGATATTTCACCCCCATTCCAAATGGAATGACCTCACCATTGAGGGAAAGTGGCATTAGAGCGTCCAATTTTCTCCTCCTGGTGAATGGGATTAACACAGTTTTGCTGGGGTTGACAGTGGCATAGCTATTTAGAGAAAAATATACCTACTTGAAATTGATATTCTAAATATGAAACATGAAAGTTCAGTCTCATGTTCGTTTTTGTTATATATTAACATATTTTGATTGAATTCAACGAATTATTTTCGTGATCAATTCTTTCTAGGGTGGAAACTTTACTGTAAAATGTGTAACCGTAGATGAAAATGGGGATAAGTTCACATATAGCTGGACTAAAAATAAGGAATTGCTTCCTGTTAGAACAGAAAATGAGAAATATGAAATTTTATACCCAACAGGAACCATTTTACAAGTTAATAACGCCGAGGTGAGTCCAAAACTTTTATTACTGTTAATAGTTTGTTCTCGGTAGTTATGAAAATACCCTATCTTCAGAGTTATANATATCATATTAGACCATGGAAGTCCGAACTAATGAAATTCAACAATATCTATAGTTTAACACAGAACACATAAGAAAATCGAAAAAATGTTCTCAATCCATAGAAATGTTTTTGAAAATCAAGTAATTTGACACTAATTACATTCAATACAAATATTTATTTGAACTGGAAGTTTTGACTGAAATAAATAAATGCATTCATTTGAATAATTTGCAAATATCAATTTCAAATGAAGACATTATTCATTCGAAAGATATAAATTTATTGAATTCAATACAAATATATCAATAAAATAAATGAATGTTACTCAGTTCAAGAAAATCGAAATACCAAATTCTAACAATTCCTTTTTCTGTGAGGTATTGCAACAAATAGTCATTAACATTACTGTTATTACTGAAAATACAATAATCAGATAACACAATTTAGTGTCACTCATTCATTGGCCCTCATTATCGAAGGTAATCCATTCGTATACATGTCAGGAAAGCTAATCGGTTGTAAGAATTCAGATTCAGTCATCTGCTGGTAATGTTAACTTGGTTAGTGAAGTTCTCGTCAAGAGATAGATCAAGATGCATACTGAATTCTTGGTGTAATCACTTGAACGCCTTTCACATGTCGTCATAAAGTCTCGATCTATGGCACTCTCGATAAAGAAATAAAGAATAGATCCAACAAGTTCCAGCCTCCCATTCACAGTAGAGATGGGCTCAAAACAACCGAACTGGTTTTTCGGAACAGGTATCAGTCAACTGTTCAAGGAACCTGTTCTTTTCATTGAACTGAACTTGTTCAGACGGTGAGTGGCTATTCCAAAGACGCTTGCGCAGGTTAGTGCTGGAAATGGATGACGGAACCGCTCTGTGACCTGTGCTCTCGACTGCACTGAGCACTAACAAGTCATAAACGTTTTCCATGAAATTTTGAACAAGCAAAACGAATTAATTAAATACCTATCTGTTGCAAAATCGTAGGTCTCTGTCTCTGTGAATTCTCCTCAACGTGGGTTTTCACTGTTTTTCTAGTGGGTAGAATTTTCACCGTGGGGTGTTTTTAAGCATATGACGCTTTAAATTTGTCACGGAAGATTTGAAGGNTGAAAACGTGAATGAATAATAATCATAATAATAGTCATTTCCTTAAGACAGCTACAAACAGTATGGAACAAGTCACTTGTTTACATTCAAAATACAATAATAATAATACTAATACTAAAAAAATTATTCCACCGCAAATTGCCACGACAAATATTCATACAGTTTATAAAAACACTGTTCTGTCAAAAAGGATTTAAAATTAAATTTGAATGATTGTTTTTTCATGCAGTTTCTCACATTTGAAGGAACAGCATTGTATATTTCAGGAGCCATATGACTGGGAGATTGGTGAGTTATTTTGAATTTTCCGAATAGAATTGAAAAAGTATTCTTTTGTCTTGTATTGAAACTATGATTTTGTTTGTTCCTCACAAAAATTTCATCATTATTGTCGAATACTAGTATACTCAACTCTGATATGACTAGACATGATAATGTTAATATTTTCAGTCTCTTGAATATATCTTTGCATGAATCAGTCTGTGAAAGCCCCGTCATTGATCGTAAAATTCGTTTTTGTGCCACGAAGATATCTTTTGCTAGGGTAGATAAACCCCAGAATATCACACCGTATCGTATTCTACTTTCAACTTGTGCATAGTAGAGCTGTATCAATTGATCAATATTGAATACATGTCGCAAATTTCCAAATTGAAAGGCAATCGAATTTAATTTTGAGATTAGTTAATGGGAGTAAGCCTTCCAATTGAGATTTTCATCTATTCGTAATCCTAAGAAAATTGTTCGATCCGAACTAGTTGAGATCGATGGACTCGATTCGTTTGATTGGAATGACAACTCATTACATTCTTTTTGGATATGGTGAAATCTCAGTGCTTGCGTTTTCGAAGTTTTTGAAAACAAGTAATTTGCTGAAAACCATTCATTCAAAGAAGTCAATACTCACGCATTTATCGATACATTTATCACGCAAGGAAGGGTACATTTTTTCAGATATGATTAACAACGTATCATCAGCGTACATTGTGAAGAATGCAGGTACAGAAAGTTTATTCAAATCATTAATATAGAACAGAAACAGAATTGGCCCGAATATGAACCCCTGAGGGACACCAATGTCTGTTTCAGTTTGCTGTGAGAAAGTGAAAGAAATGGTTATGAACGATTGTCGAGTTACAATCAGAGAAGTCGCTGATGATTTCTGTAGAACAATTCGAAAAAATGCCTGAATCCGTGGAAATTCATAGCTTCTGCACCACGATAATGTACCTACCTGCTCACACTTTATTGCTTGTTCCTGAATTTTTGACAGACAACAATACTGTAACGATGCCCTAGCCTCCATATCTTTCTGACATGGCTTTGTGTGACTTTCTTCTATTTCCAAAAATTGAGATAACCTTGAATCGTTTTACAAAGATAACACTGAAAGGATATCACTTGAAGAGCTGAAGCAATCCCGAAAGTCAAATTTGAGATCTTTTTCGACGATTGAAAGTAACGTTTGCACACATGCCAACGTTGGAATTGGAACTATTTTGAAGGTGACAATATTAATGTAGATGAAAATATGAAAAATTACCAAATGAATGTAGCTGAGAGAATCGGATAGGAGTATAAAGATCAGAAATGATTTATTTGCAAAGGAAGTACATCGAAGATAAGAGTACTATAAGGTGTGTACCTGCCAAGTGGAATGAATTCAATAATGAATGAATGGCGGCATGTGACAAAGCTATTTTTTGCGATCGTTAGCCGCGGTCTGTGGGTTTTTATGACTGACATTTGGTCTACGGCTCTAGTTAACATTATCAATGATGATGGGGCAACAGATAAAGCAGAAAATGGAGTCATGTTCAAAAAAAGCTCCCTTCCACGTCGAATACATTTTTTAGTATCGATTTTTTTTCGTTTTTTTTGTACACAGTGTTGTCGTACAGTGTCATCTCCAAAATATGCACCATATGGGAAACTTATTTATTAAGGTTTTTTCGACAAAATGTTATTCTTAATAAAAGTTTGTGCATCCCCTAAAACTAAACATGCACCAACAAAATACAGTAAAATACACGTAATATACGAAGAGCCTTCAAATATTTGATTTGAGACGAAAGTAAAGTACTCTTATTTTGGAAATTTTCGAAAAATGTTATTCAGAAAAGTTGTCCAGCATTACAAAATACATCTAGATTTGAAGTCATGGCCATCCAAGAAAAGTTTTATTTTTCACAATTTTTTTTAATGGGCACTACGAAATTAAAGAATTGCTGAAACGATAAATAGATAGCATCCTGTATACGACATGGGTGGTATTTATTTTCTTTCNAGGCAATAATTTATTTTGTTTCGGTTTCATGGATATTCGTTGAATGTAATTTTTTTCTTTTGGGTGTTCCATATATTTCATATCAATCTGAAGAAATTAAGAAAACTTTTCCAAAAGTTCCTGCTATTATATCATGGTAAATTACTTGCGGCAGAATCTCGAAAGGGAGTCTATTACAGATTCGCGAACGTTTCCGTATAAAGCAACATGAAAGAGAACAAGATAACCATCTTTTCGCATATGCGAAATATATATTAAATATATATTTGAACTCCGTGCTTGGAATACTTAAGTGTTTCCCAACTGTTTCCACGTGGAGTGCGTAACTCCATGACAGTTATCATTTTTGAGAAGTGGATTGTTTCAATAACGTGTTTTGAGAAAATCAGTCAATATTTTGTCCATTTTCACATAGTTATATATACAATTTATATTATGAATGTTTTCATTCTTACATATTCTTCATAGAATATCACATAACTGTCAACCAATTAGAGGATATGCGACGTGCTAGTCTTCTAATAACTTCCTTTCTCAATATCCTAAAGTAGGTGCAAAGAGAACACACACAATATAGAACCAAATACGAGAATCACATAGTTGCGCACAGCTATACAGTCGTAAGTTTGGAAAAAACCAATAACCCAATATATTGCTTAGCTGACGACAGCAAACTTGTCTCGTCATTTCATCGGTTACAGAGGCACATTTTCACCGGCAGCAGGAGGTTACATATCTTCATGAGGATCTAGAGGTGATTTAGAATTGGGGTAACAGTAACCAGGTTCAATTCAATGCCACAGAAACCCAAGCATCGGTTTTCTCCGAGAAGATAAATATCTCCAAACCGGATATAATAATGTCAGATCAGACAATTCCGCTTTCTGCTTCGATAAGTTTCTTGGGGTTCAAAATGGACACCAATATGACTTGGCACAATCGTGTCACTGCTTGAAACACTGTTCCTAACCAGAAAACTGTACACACCTCAGCCATTTTTGATGCTTTTTTGGAGTATTGTTCTCAAGTATGGAGTTGTGCCCCCAAACATACCTTGAAGTTGCTGTTTTCCATCCAGAAAAGAGCCATCCGCCTGATTGGAGACGCAAACATCACGTGCAACCTTGATAGACTGGAACATCGAAGAAAGGTTGGATATTTATCTCTCTTCTATAGATACTTTCACGGGAGGTGTTCAAGTGACTTGGCACATTTGATTCCACCAAGAGCGGTACATATCAGAAATACGTGACGAACTGTGGCTGCTCATCGTTTTGAGGTTCAACTCAGTACACCTCGAACGTCATTAGCTGATATCTTATTCTGTTTTACTGGTACAGATAGGCAATTCAACAAGTTCATTGAATATGTCAATTCCATCCACCCGTCAATAAAATTCACCACTCAAAAGGAGGTAAATAATTCAATAAATTACCTTGAAATTATCATACATAATTCCTTCACACACCCTCACCAGCATAAAGTTGCTGCATTCAATAGTATGCTCCACAGACTATTGAATATTCCACTGTCTAAGAGTAATTTACAGAGAGAGCTGAGTTTGATCAAACAAATCGCGGTTAACAACAGTTATAAGGTAGATATTATAGACTCCATCTTTTCCAGTCTACCCTAATTCAAGATGTGATCAAGTGATGTCGTCTGTTATAGGAAATATGCCATATTTGGTTGAACCAACCAATAAAATTGCCCGTTTTTGAAGAAAGAGTGCATAAACGTAGCGTACAGAACGAATAATAGTCTAAGTAAATTCATTAAAAACAATAAAGACAAACCTTCGGGGTCGGATAGAAGATTGAAACTCAATCTTCTAGAATGTTTAGAAATCAATAGATTCAGGAATTCCGGCAATTTACTGAGTGGTCAATTAGAATTGAATAACTTCCCGTTACTAAATATTTTTTCAAATGTGGAAACTGGGACATGAGTTCAGGTAATTTGATTCATCATAAAATTGGGTAGAATAAAGTATATTAACCATTGAATTTGTAGTATCAATTAGTAAAGACACGCTTGACGGAGCCATTGTATGGCGAAGCACGTGTTGCGTTTTTGTGAAATCGTTTAGCAAAAATCTCACAATAAAGTTTTTTTTGCAAACATCATTTGCACCAGGAAAATCAACCACTGAGAAGTGGTTTCCTTAGTTTGCACGGGGACGGTACTTTCAGTGGACGCCCCAAAGAGATTGCTACCGACGAAAACATCAAAAAGTCCACAATACTATATTGAATGACCGCAAAGTGAAGTTGATAAAGATAGCTGAGGCTCAAAAGCTAAATATATCAAACGAACGTGTCACATATGACTAGTGATGTCATCTGCAAGCCAAGTAAAAAATTAAATTGTCAACCGGATGTTTTTGCTTCGAACTTTTCTTATTCATTTCAAGGCTGAGTTCCAAAGCTTTCCTTTCCATAAATCAAATAG